AAATGTTTACATATTGAAGAAAGCTTCAGACTGAGATGAGTGTTCTGCAGACAATTTCAGGACTGTTATAGAGAAATTTTCAAACTTCTAGAGAGAATTTCAAATTCATTTTAGAAGAATTCTGGAAAGAACTCTGTGTTATTTCTTGAAAATGTGTCCAGAAAGCACTAGTACATACCTATCTGAGGAAAGTAATAGCTGATGGGGTTGTGTTTAGGACTTTACATTTTCGTAGTTCTAAAATGAACTCGAGTTGTGCCTCTTTCATACAACGTGTTCAGCGCATCATTTCTATAACACCTAGCTGGACTATCAGCACGAAACGGAAATGAAAAAGAAGCACGCTTAGAACGAAAGGCTGGATTTCTCGTCGTTGTTTTGCTCATCACTTTCCTCCTGTCTTTCAATCCCTTTCACCGACACTCTATCACCGCTATTTCAATTTGTTTAATATGCGTTATGTTCCGGTGTCGTTACCTTTTTCTAGATAAATATGTGGATATTTGCATGTGAGAAATGCTTTAAATACATATTTTCATTTGTTGATGTGTTTCACTCGTCCACTTCACTGAAGCTTGAAAGACAACGACGGGAGAAAGTGAGACAAGCGATTGAAAATTTGTTTATACTTCGACCTGTTCGACTTTAACAGAAAAAGAAATATAGAGGCCCTGGTTGTGATGCCAAAAACGACTAGGCACTACCCAAAAAACAATTTGAGTTGATTAACAGCTGAATAAGCAATTTTTTAGCTCAAGAAGCTTATTTTTGCCTGATTAAGCTCTTATCCAACATTCAATGTTTGTTGGGTACATTCCTTCAGGAGCGTCTTTTAACTATATCTGGATGTATCTTTTGATTTCCTTTGAAAGAATCTTCTGACATACTCCAGAAATATTTATTTTGATTTCATCCGGAAGATTCTTGCAACTTATCCTGAAAGTTGTGTTCTTCTGATCAGTGCTGCAAAATCTCGACAGTACACGGTGATATTGACAATTCTGCTTTGGTCACTCATTTGAGCTAACAGTCATAGTCAAGGCAAACCATGTCAATTGTCAATGACAATGGTGTCAGTGACGAACATGTGCAGATTTGTTTATTAGCTAAATTTGTAACAGAATTAAATGACTTCAGCAAAACAATTACATGAATTCATTTTAATGAACAAGTATTTACGTCCTGAGCTACTTGGATAACAATAATGTGACACAGAATGTACTAAATTTCATTTTTGTTACCAGGTGAATCTTTGTCATTGACGAAAAAATGAATGAGATTTTGACGAAGGTTTTTTTGAGGATCAAGTCTGTCAATGACTATGTGACGAACAATTTTGTCAATATCGCGCGAAAGTCTGTCAATGACAATGACAAATCTCAGCACTGCTTCTGATACTGGCTGGTCACATTTGTCCCGGAATTCAATTTTGAATTTTCTTGGAAATAGGCTAGCAACATCTTCCATGTTTCTGCATTTATTTTCAGAGTTTTCATGGTATTAATTCCAGAATTTCAGCGGCACCGGTGGTGTAGTGGTAAGCGTGATAACATCTCTGATCACGCCTTCCTTCGGAAGGGAAGTAAAGCCGTTGGTCCCCGGTTCATGAGTTGATCGGTCGATAGATAGGGTTCAGGTGTAAGAGCTGCCTTCCTGGCGTCGGTAGCATTGGTGCTCAGCACGGAAAACAAGATCGACGGAAAACAAATCAAGAAAAAAAAACTAGAATTTCCATTGAATTTTACTTATAATTATCGTGATAAACTAACCAGGAAATTCTATTGGAACTCTTCTCGTAATCATCCTTTGAAACCATTTTTTTTTATTTCCTTTGAATCCGATTTTCGTTGGAACTATTCTGAGGATTAGAATTCTTTGACATTATTTTCAAAGCTTTCTTTGATGTTTTCGCAAAACTCTCTTCGGATTTTTTTCGGATTACTTTTTATAATTCCTCCTCATTTTTTATAACTATCCTCAGAACACGATCTATATATTTTTTCAAGAAACTTCCTTGAAATTCTCTTCTATATCTTTCTCAGTATACCTGTCTTATTATCCGAAGAAAACCCTCAATATTTTTAATTAGAAATCTTTCTGGATGCTCCAAAAATTCACCTACTATCCTTCTATCCTTTCCGATACAATTCATCTCAGAATTACCAAAAAGTTATCCTCATAACTCTCTTGGAAATTTCATTGGATTTCATTAAGATCTCCTTTGAATTTTTATCCGAGAGATTCTCAATGTTTCTTCAGGATTTCTTTGAAATTTTAAATTTCTGTAAAAAATAGTTAAAATTATTGAAACCCTCATAATTTTCTGCAATTTTTTCCAGGAGCATAACGTTTTTTTTTTCGAAAACTTAGATTTTTTTCAAATCCTTTATTTTTTTAGAGATTTAAAAAATCTAATTATGTTTTTTTTTCGTGTAGATCTAGGATCACGAAGATTTAAAAAAGTCAAATCTCGAAAAAGTAAGGCCTGTACTCGAAAAAAAAATGCACCAGACAAAATTGTTCTCCAAAAATTTATTTTAAGTAGGATTTTCTTGAAACTTTCAGGGAATGAACATATGTATATGGATTATGTTTCGGTATAATAACTTTATTCAATTTCCTTTCCATCGCTGAAAGCCCGCACCTTTCCCTTAAGACCCCTCATTACATTTTGTGCAATGATGGAGCCGACCTTTTTGATCACTTTCATCCATTCTTTCTTCTGGAGCTGGAGCGTTCTTAAACACCTTGGACGATTTTCGAACTTTGGCCTTCATTATGGCCCAAAATCTTTCCACCGGACGAATCTCTGGTGAATTAGGGGGGTTGGCGGTTTTTGGTACAAAAACAATGTTTTTGTCTCTGTACCAATCCAACGTCGACCGCGCGTAATGGCATGATGCCAGGTCCGGCCAAAATAATGTCTCGCCTCCGTGGGACCGCAGGAAAGGCAACAGACGCTTCTGGAGGCACTCGGTGCGGTAAATTTCGCTGTTGATGGTACCCATTGTGATGTACGGTTTACTCAGTTTACCGCATTGGCATATGGCCTGCCAGAGCAAGTATTTTTTTGGCGAATTTGTCCACTTTCTTCTTCCTTACGTCTTCCGGAACATCAAACCGTGATTTGGCAACGTAGAACTCCAGCCCCGGTATCTGCTTTGCGTCTGCCTTGATGTAGGTTTCGTCATCCATAACCACACACATCGGTTTCGTTAACCACTCTCGATACAGCTTCCTTGCGCGGGATTTGGCCGCCGTGTTTTGTTGATCACGCCGGTTCGGTGCCTTCCGGACCTTGAATACACGAAGCCCATGCGGAACACTTTGCCTTCAGAGCCGCGTCGCGAATTGAAAGGTTCGGATTACGCTTGAAATAATCCAACACCTTCCGGGCCTTCACAGGGTCAGCTGTCTTCAATTTTCTTCCACTTCCAGCCCGCCGCTTGGTCGTCTGGGACTCCTTAAACGATTTTACCACCCAAGACACAGTTGTATGGGTGATTCCCAGTTATCTTCCGATCCATCTCATGGTCGCAGTCGGATTTTCCATGACGGCGCGCAAAATTCTCCGGCGATTTTCTTCTTGTTTCGATGACATCTCAATAACCACTGAACCGATTGTTATGAAATTTTGCAAATGTAAACAATTCACTCCAATCTAGATTTTCATCAATTTTTACCAACGGATAAAAAAGTTACACACGGATAAAAATTGTGCATTTTTTTTGCTACGTCATTTATGCATGTTCCATTATGTGTGTCTACAAATTCTTAGAAATTCTCATCTCATTATAAAGCCACCAATCAATTTCTTTCTGCATGTTTATGAACCTTGAAACTTTTATTTTCAAGGTCCTTTTCAAGGAATTGAGAAATTTTGTCTAGCTTTTAGGGTTTTAGAATGCGGACAAATAAAACCTCAGAATTTTAATTGTTTTTTGAGTCCAACAGTCTTGAAGATTTATTTTAGACCAAGTGAATATAAATATTCCTTACGGGTGTGGATGCGGTCATCTGGAAAATTCCTTTTCTGAATGCGGAATTTTCATTTCATAATAATGTATGAAAACTCATTCTGAATCCTTACTGTCTTCAATTTCAGGTTATAGAAATCCGGTTCTTATAAAAAAAAATCTCTCTCCGGATCCGGATCTGATTGCCCATCTCTACCACAGTATATTCCACAAATATGTAGTCAAAATACATAGTTTAGGGTCTAGCCACGTTGACAGTTTGAGGAAGAGTTGACGAGTGTCAACAGCACTTACAATTAATGAAAATAACGTATCGATGATTGTCTACTAGACTGATGCAAAATTTGAAATATTCGCTCCACAATGCTCATACGGTTCCAAATTAAGTCCTGATAAGCTTTTTTTAAATTTTCTCAGCTACAACTTTATTCAAGACCACTTTTCGATCAAATGTAAGGAACAAAAGTTATTAATGATTCAAGTCACTGATGTCTTATGATTATGCTCAATCAACTGTTCAGCAGGCACCATTGGTTTTTATGGCGCGTTGAATACAGCACAGAAATCATGGCTACTATGTCAGACTGCAGAATACAGTGTTTTTCACAAAACAGCTGTTTCATCATACCATAAGATTATCAATCTCTTAAACAATTAATAACTATTTAATTTGACGTTTGGTTGAAAAATGATATTTTGCAGAGTTGTAGCTAAGAAAATATTCCATAATAATAACATAGAACTTGTTAACAGTATAATAGGGGAAAAGGCTAGAATACAGTGAACAAAAAGTTTGGTTTTACTATAGTAATATCCATATAAACTTCGAATGGTTTGTGCCAGATCCTTTTATTACCAAATGAGACGATTTGGAACCGTTTGAGCAATGGGGAGCAAACATTTCAAATTTTACATCAACCTATTGTCCACGAGAAGGATGAAGTCTCTCAATCTCTCAATAGCTATCCCACCTCCTTGGACAACCCGCCATCAAACTAATCTCTTTCCTTCGCCTTTCCGCAGGTGTCCCCACTCAAATCGCTCCTCCGCGAGGATCTCAAACGGCGAATCTCAGCCCGGGCCACGAGCCGTGCCAACCGCAACGGGCTGCTTACCTCACCGAACCCGACCAGCAGTCCGATACCGACCAGTTGCAGCAATGCTACCTCCTCCCCGGCCCCCGAGTGCGGTACCTCATCGAGCAGCTCGAGCAGTAGCAGCAGCAGCAGTAGCAGTAGCAGCAGCGGTATCGGCACCAGCGTCAACGGTACCTCCAGCAGCAGCAGCTGTAGCATCAGCAATAGCAATGCTACGGCCGTAGCCGTTGCCACTACCTCAAACGGTACCATCACGTCCACGGGACCGGAAACCGACATGCTCCTGTCCGGGGGACCCAAGTCGAAGCGGCACCTGCAGTGCCTGTTCTGCGGCATCGAGTTCCCCGACCAGACGCTGTACTTCCTCCACAAGGGTTGCCACAGCGAGAGTAATCCGTGGAAGTGCAACATCTGCGGCGAGCAGATGAGCAATGTGTACGAATTCAACTCCCATCTGCTCAGCAAGAGCCACCAATGATGTTAGGCGAGGGAAAGGGAAACATTTTGCTGGTAATGTTTCTCTTTTTCTGATCGCTTCCCCTTCAGAAACCACATTCACACAGAGGCATACCCGTGCAGGAGGTATGTACTAAGGAGAACACACACACACCACAAAAAGGAACAACCGGATCAAACAAACAAACAATAGCAATTTTCTCCTCTTTTCTTTTTGAGTTGGACTGAACCACTTTTCTCCTCATCCGGAAGCATAAAACTTCTATTTTCAGTTTCCTTAGCCCAATCGCAGTAGCGACGGGACATAAGATTGATGCTGGGGCGCGGATAAGCCACGCCCCACTTCAGCCACTTAAGACAGGGATAAGACAGTGATGTGAATCAGTCGTAACTGACTTTAAACTGTTTGTTAGCAAAAATGAAAATCTGCTTCTATCCTTCGATCTACTAAATTGCTTCTTAAATCCTTAATTTTCCTACTTTCCTAAGTCTTCTTCACTCATCTTGCACACAGAAAATTGTGAGGAGAAAATTTAGAAATTATTGAATGCAAAAGAGAAAAGTATATTTATTGTCCGTCCAATAGAGTTAAATTAAAAAAAAATGAGAACGTAGAAGCAAAATGATTTACACAAACACAATTACACACACACACACATGCAGATGCAGATGCAAATAGCCAAAGGAAAAAAAAACAAAAGATGAAGATAGTGACCCGAATTTTCCGCGGAAAACTCGGGTGCTGAAAAGGTTCGCGTCCAATGGTTTAGAGTCACGGAGATCAATTTTGTTTTGTGCACCACATTTGGCTTTGCCTCCCTGTCGACCAACCGTTCAGCCGTTGTGGAGTGAAACCCGGCAGTAGTGATTAGTAGTAGTGCGAGTGCGCAGCCAGTGCGTAGCAAGGGAGGACAAAAGTGCGTCGACCAAGTGAAACACCCTAGGTTATAAAAGATACACAAACTTACAACCAAGCAACATCAAGAGGACCTTATTGGAAGAAGTTATCTAGCGGTGTATTTTTTGTTTCTAATTTAAAAAAAATAGTTGAAGAAACTAAGAGTTCAAGTAGTGCATCTTAATGATAGAATATACATAAACACACACACTAACAAACAACAAAACACCTAGCAATAGCGACGAATGGCCGGTGGGAAAGCAATACCAGCGGGCCGAAATGTGGACGACAACGAATAACTGGAAACTGACGAGCGAGGAAAACCGAATGATGAGCGCGGGCTGCGATAAACAAAAAACGGTTCGGAAATGTAGGTCCTTTTTTGGTTTTTGATTTCCGTTTGAATCAAGAACTTACTCAACGGGATGAACTTTGGCGGAGAAGTTGATTGGTTGGGGAAGTTTTCAATTAATAGATAGAGCAGCAACCAGTAAATAAATGTAAACAAACAAACACGTCAAATGTATGCGTGTCGCTAAGAAAATACCAATAGAAGCACAGAAAGGACAGGGCTTGGTGCAAGACAACTTTTGATCATCAGTAAAATCAGAGTTGATTTTTAGTAGCTCTGAGTAACTGACGTTTCTCAACATCATATACACATAGCAACCCAATTGTCAACCAAAGCAAATTTAAGCATTTCAACAACAATTTAAACGGTTGCACTCTCGTATAGTACGCGTACGAAAGGAACTGCTGCCCCCTCAAATCGATGGATGATTTGTATGGTGACCATACGGAAAATTAAGAGCTGATTTGCTGTGTTTGCCATGACGATGACGTTGTTTACTGAAAATATTAGCAACCGCATAGTACGGATTCTGATAGACAATCCCAGAAAGGATTTCGGACAGTCGATCAGAAAGAGGATTTATGACAGTCTCAGGAGGGATTCCAAACTAGCCTCAGGGAGATTGCAGACAATCCCAGTGTAGCTTCCCAACAATATCAAAGGGGACTTCGGACAATCCAAAGAGGGATTATGGACTATTCCAGAGGAGATTGGTGGTCACTCTAAACATTTCTGTTGTTCCAATTTTTTACTCACTGTGCCGCAGCTCTGCCGGCAGAGCCGAGAGTGCCAATCATCAGACTGACTTTGTTTGCTTGTGAATTTTCAAATGTTTTGTTTTTTATGAGAAGGAACAACACAACAAGCAGTGCCATCCGACCCAATACGAGAATCAAAACGATGATCCAAAAGCACCCCAGCTGGACAGAATGGCCCGACCGGAGGATCTCTTCGAGAAGGCGATTGAAATTCTTCCGACAGCTGCAGATGTTTGGCAAAGACTTCGGCGAAAGCATAATTAGTAAAATAACGTTTATTTCTGTTAATTATGATTTTACGTTTTTATACTAGTCTACAGAATACCCCTTGAGGGGTGTGTTATGTTTGGATTGAAAAAAGTGATAACCTACCTAACTACGAGTATAACTTAGCCTTACGTGCTAGATCACGTATGATCTGATAAGTTGATCTCAGTTGAACCTTTCCAGATTAAAAACTCTCCGTTCTTCTAATGTCTGAATTCCAGCTAGGAGGTGGATCTCAGAATTTCTACTTCGCGAGGGACTGTTGAGGATCATCCTAAGGATCTTGTTCTGAATCCTTTGGAGTTTGAGGTGATGGCATTTGGCGCAACTCTCCCAGATTGGCATACCTTACTCGATTACGGGAAGAATGATTTGTTTGGAGACAGCAAGCTTATTTTTAGGGACTCCTGTTGATGAGTGGATACAGGGATCTTATGAGGATGTTACACTTGGTTTTCGTTTTATCAACGTGCTCCCTGAAATCAGCTTGCTGTCTAGTGTTAAGCCGAGGTAGACTACCTCTTTCGACTATTCCACCACTGTGCCTTTCAGGCAGATCTTATTATTCTCAGACGGAACAAGTCTGAGAGATTTAGAGTGTGGAAAGATGATGACCTGGGTCTTTGCCGTGTTGATACGGATCTTCCAGGTTGAAATATTCAGCTAGGACGTCCAGGCCTCTCTGAAGTTTGGCATTCAGAGCTCCGATGACCCTACCATTGTAGACGATGGATGTTTCATCTACGAACAGAGACAACGATCCACCATCAGGGAGAGCCGGCATATCGGAGGTGAAGAGGTTGAATAAAATGGGGCCAAGGATGCTTCCTTGTGGAATCCCGGCACCGATGTTGAAAGCATCCGATGTTATGCCATTCAGAGAGACTCGGAACGTCTTGTCCGATAGATAGTTGTTAATTATCTTCACTAGGAAGATTGGAAGACCTTAGTGCTGCAATTTGAACACCAGGCCATCATGCCAGACATTGTCGAACGCTTTTTCAACATCCAACAAGGCTATGGCAGATATTTTCGACACAGACTTGTTCCGTCTGAGACTGTTTGTTACTCGAGTAACAAGTTGTTTTCTTCGGCACATGTTAGGCGCCGGTGATAGACTGCACTTTCGAACAGTTTTGATAACCCTGAGAGAAGGCTGATTGGTCGATAACTTGGAGGACGGATTCTTCCCAGGTTTCCGGATGGGTATGACTTTAGCTGACTTCCAACACGAGGGGAAGTAGCCAAGTCGGAGGCACAGATTAAAAATCAGTGCCAGATGTAGAATATGGAACTCAAGTGTTTGAGTTGTAGATTCAGGATATTGTCGAAACCTGGGGTCTTCATGTTTTTAGATGATTTGATATAGACCAACAGTTCGTCAGCCGTAATCTCGGATTCCTCGGGAATAATATTAAGAATCTGATGAAGGCTGGTTGCTCTTACAGCAACCTTGGTGAGGGCTGACGATGTTTTGTCCGAGATTATGGGAGCTGACGAAGTGTTGACCTATCGTGGCAGCCTTCTCTTCAGGAGTTATCAAATGAACCACTGGGTCGCCGGGACTATCCAGTGGTTTTTATTAGGCGATTACAGTGAGTCTTCAAGACAGGCAAGCCAGAACGCTGGTATTGCCTTCGAATGGAGTTACGGAGTCTAATGAGATTTTTGGTAATTCTATCAAGGTTCAGAGTATTGTTCAACTGTCTGGATACCGGGATATCACCTCCTCGATGGCACGCAGACACCGGACAACGTCTTCGGGCGTCTCCGGAAGGTCACCGTAGTCGAAACAGTGATGGAACTGATCCCAAGATCTGGTAGTTGCGTCGGGAAGCTTGGAATCGGTTGACGAATGAGCCCACATCGGCCACCACCGGATAGTGGTCCGAACTCAGCTCCTGGTGGGTCACAGGCTGCGAGATGTTGTCTCCCATGTTGCTGACGAAGATGTCGATGGTGGAGTGTACGCCAGACCGGCTCAAGCAGGTGGGAGAGTCCGGCGCTATTATGGTGTAGTGAGCCTCTTGCAGGTCGTCGTTCAGGATTGTGCCGTTTTGGTTGCGTCGACTGCTGTCCCAAGCCTGGTGTTTGGCGTTCAGGTCGCCAGCGATGATGTACTTCTTACGGCGTCGAGTTAGTATGATGATGTTTCTCCGCAGGTCTGCAGCCGACCCGTCCCTGATGGTGACTTGTTTGGGACAGTAGGCCGCAATGATGGTAATACGGCAGACAGGAGTAGAGACTTCCACGCCCACCGCTTCGATCATCTTCAGCTGGAAGCTTGATACCAGTCGATAGCCAATATTTCTCCTTAAAGCGAAAGCCACTCCTCCTCCGCAGGAGCTGGTCCGGTCTAGCCTTACGAGCCGAAAATCGGGGAGGTGAACATTTATTTCCGGCTTCAGGTGTGTTTCGGTGATGAAGTTAATGCTAGGAAATCAACGAACTCAATGATTTTGCTAAGAAATCAACGAACTCAACGAACTCAATGATGATCTTGAGCGAGCAAGCGTTCCCGGCAATCTCCGGCTTCAGGTGTGTTTCGGTGATGACGTCAATGCTAAGAAATCAACGAACTCAATGATTTTGCTAAGAAATCAACGAACTCAACGAACTCAATGATTTTGCTCTTGAGCGAGCAAGCGTTCCCGTTGACTATTGATGGCTTCACGGTCCATACTTCTGCTCGAGGGACATAACTGCACGAAGCTGTTCAGGTAGTGTATTGGTTGTGCGCAAGATTATAATCACCTCAGTCACGAGGATCACTAGTTCGGCGCTTGTGAGTGGAGAATTGTCTTCTGACTCACCTGATACAGCACGGGCGTACGATAATCCCGAGGCAGTAGAGTCATGGCTCGGCTGGGCCGCAGCGGCAGTGAGGCGATGCTGAACTGAATGGTCGCAGGGATTCGCTTTATCTTATGTTGGATTCGCAAGGGAGGGGGGCGCTGGTTTAGTGGAAGCGGTGCTAGGTTCGGGACCATACGACGTGCCTGAAGTACTGGAAACGTGTCCATGTTGACCACGGTTATTGCTTTGTCGACCAGGTTGGTTACTCGTGGAAACCTGTTGTCGGATCAGGATGAAGGCCGCTCGCTTGGAACATCTCCTATCGCTGCCCAGATGGTTGGAATCACAGTTCACGCACTTAGGTTCAGCTTCATCTTTCTTCTTGCATGCGGTAGTATTGTGAGTCTCAGCACATTTGCCACAACGAGCCTTCATGTGACAATTCTTCGTACCGTGCCCAAATGCTAGACAATTAGTGCACTGTGTCACGGCACGGTGGCGAGGGCGATACTGCTTGCACTGAATTACGATGTTAAATAGCGCGCGAATCTGCCGCAGAGCAGCCACACTGGTGGAGTCCTTATCGAAGTGCACCAGGTACAACAGGGAGATTTGGAAGACCACGGATCAACATTTTCAGTGGTTTGCTTCCAGGGACGTCGTGAGTGTAGAACTCAAACCGGTTCAGCTGAAGAAATGTGCCAACAGCTTTGTAGTTCTCCAGCGTTGAGCACAAGATTTTGATCCCCGTGCTGCACAGCTTGAACAGCGGATGGATTTGATTTTTAGCCAGCTCATTCCTGAGCAATGCGAGTTCCTTCGTCGACGTGAACAGTGGGGGGATTTTTTCCCGTTTCTCAACTGGAGCTATATCTGCTTCTTCGGGGAGTGCCGAGAACGGATTACTCTGAAGCAACCTTTCCGTATGCTTATTGACACCAGCTTTTTTTGCGAGGCCTTTTCGGAGCATTTCAAACTTTGGCGATCTATTACCTTTTGTTTTTTCAACGGGTGAGTGGAGGCATTCAACTGTCGCTCCACTACCGCCGATTCAGCGACTGCCACAAGAGAGGCGAGAACTGACGACACGTTGCTAGCCAAAGCGAAAACTCGCGACGGGTAGCCCGTTCAAACGACCGACTCGAGAGAGCGA